GCCCTGCTTGGCTGGTGGCAGATTTGGGGTTTTTGGGGAGGATTGCAGCAGATTTGGGGAGGATTGCAGCAGATTTGGGGTTTTGGGGAGGATTGCAGCAGATTTGGGGGTTTTGGGGAGGATTGCAGCAGATTTGGGGAGGATTTCAGCACATTTTTAAGCCCAAACCCTTGGGGTTGCTCCTTTCTCTTCCCCTCATGCTCAGCATGCCCAGAATGGAGCAGACACCCCAGAGCCAGCAGGATTTGGGGACAGCCCAGGTGTTTGGGGAGCTCAGGTGTCCCCTTTGGGGTCACACCCTGACCTGGCCAGCCTGGGTTTCTCCATTCAATCCCATTTATTCCCTGGCTCTGCTTTGTCTGGGATGGCTGTGCTTGGGATAAAGGAGGAGGGGACATCCCAGCCCTGAGCCATGAACCCAAACCCATCCAGCATTGCCCTGGGGGCTGAGAAAAAACCCTGATAAAACCCCTGATAACAAACCCCGATAACAAACCCCGATAACAAACCCCGATAACAAACCCCACACCCGGGGCAGGTGTGCAACTTTTGATACAATGTATATTTATTGCAAACAATAATATACAAAAAAAAACAAACAAAAAAAACCAAAAAAATCCAAACCAAAACGAACAACAAAAAAAAAAAAAGGTAAGTTTCACAAAGAGAAGGATCTTGTAACCAAAACCAAACCAAACTTACCCTAAAGACAAAATATGATTTATAAAGGACAGGTCTTTTAAGTTACAGAAATACTTTAAAAAGATCTGCTTTTATACAGAAATAGAAAGATGCCATATTATAAGAGTGCTTTAAGATTTTTTTTTATTCTCCTACTGAATCCCTACCAAAAAAAAAAAAAAAAAAGTTAACAAATATATCATTATTTTTTTTTAAATAAAAAAAAGTCTGCTGTCTTTTTTAAAAAGCAATCCTTAACTGTTCAGCCACAGCTTCACCAAAATCAGTGTCCCCCCCAGCTCTCCCAGGCAGTTTTTGGGGGGGTTGAAGGCTAAAACGGTGCCACCCCTGCAGCAGGGCTGGGGTGAGGGCTCGTCCTCACACAAGCTCGTGTGTCCCAGAGAGCTGAGGCAGGAAACAAGGCAAATGATTCAGTGATCCGCTACATTTGCAATCTTTAGTTTGTACAAATCTCATTTTTTCTTTTTTTTTCTTCCAGTTTCTCCTCGAAGGCAAAAAAAAAAAAAACAAACCAAAACAAAAAAAAAAAAAAGGAAGAGCACAAAGTTTGTACAAACCCAGGACACAGATTCCAAAAAAAAAAAAAAAGAATAATAATAATAATAATAACAACGACCAAAAAGGAATTAAAGAGATAAATAAAGGACTGGTTACAGTTTCAGACCATAATTTAACAGGCACGGTCACCTTCCAAATAATGCTCCCAACCTAATGCGACGCTTCTGAAAGGACTTGAAAACAACAAAACCCAAGGAAAACGGGCGATTGAAAGCTGCTCTTCTCCCCAAATAAATAATTTAAAGGATCTGTGAGGGCCCCCAGGCAGAGAGGAGCCCCCGGCTGGGTTTGGCACCCTGGGGTGGGCAGGGGGTGCCCGGAGGGGTCGGGCTCAGCCCCAGCCCGGGGCCTGTGATTATCAGGGGCTGCTTTAAGGCTTCCAGCAGCACTTTGGGGCTGCTCCGTGGATTTATTTCTTTTTTTTTGTCATTATTTTTTTTTTTCCTCTTTTTGTTTTTCTTTTAAGGCTCAAGGTTATTAAAAAATAAAGTGAAGTTCTCCTCCTGGCTGGTTTTGCTACGAGTTAGAAAAATAAAGCCTCTCCCATGCTGGTCCCTGCCCCAGTGCTGGGTTCCCAGGGCAGAGCACGCTGGTTTAGTTTCATTTTTAGAGCAAAAAAAAGACACTTCTCTATACAAAAATACCTCTGCAAGAAACCCTAGGGCTGCTCCACTAAGTGTCATTTTTTTTTTTTTTTTTTAGCTGTTGGAAAAATAAGAGCATTTCCAAAAAATCTCTAAAAAATAGGTATAAATCCCCTCACAATTGGTAACGAATCATACACAGTACATACTAAAAATATTTAAAATAGAGAATATTCCTCACAGAGGACTCTGAGCTTTCTCTTTTACCCCCCTTTTTTTTTTAATTTTTATTTTTTTATCTCGCTTTTAATTACTGCTAAAAAAAAAACCAAAAACAAAAAATCATTACAAAAGTCCAGAGAAGGAGCCAGCTGGGCGTGTTGGATGGAAATCTCCTCTCCACGCTGGAAGAAGCAGAGTTCAAGTCCAGTCCTTGGCAAGTCTGTCCCAAATTTCAGGCCTGGGGAGCGGGTCCTGGAGGATGCTGTAGTGCAGAAGGCTCGAGGCGCCAGCTTCCACGCGAGCGTCTTTTTAATCATCATTTCAATCTCACGCACTCTGAGGCAACTCCTCGGTGCTTTCGCTCGTTCTGATCTTTTTTTTTTTTTTTAATTTTTATTTTTCCTCTCGCTTTTTTTTCTTTTTTTTTCGCCTTTTCCGGCGCCGTCTCCCCGTGGCTCAGGGCCGGGTGAGCTGCGTGTACACGGGCTGCTCCCAGTGCTGCGGGCTGTGCGTCTGCGGGATGGAGGGCACCCCCGCGCTGTCGGCGATCGGGGTGTACATGGGGCGCTGCGTGGGGCTCATGTAGCTGAAGGTGGAGTAGATGCCCCCTCCCTGCCCGGCGTGGCTGTAGTAGGAGCCCGAGGAGGAGCCCTGGTGCTCGCCGTACTCGTACTGCGCGCGGCTGATGCTGGGGTAGGACGAGCTGTAGTGCTGCAGGTTGAAGGAGCTGTAGCTCAGCTGCTGCTGCTGCTGCTGCTGCTGCGGGGAGTGCTGCTGCTGCTCGCTGTAGTGGCTGGGGCTCAGCTGCTCTGTCTTGATGTGGGTCCTTTGCTGCTGCTGCTGCTGTTGCTGCTGCTGCTGTTGGGGGCCCTGCTCGGCACTCAGAGCCGGCAGCTGCGCCGCTGGCGGCTGCTGCTGCTGCTGCTGCTTGGACATCCAGACCCCGGCAGCGCCGCTGATGCCGTAGGTGCCCGTGTAGGTGACCTGGCCGGGGTGCCCGTTGGGGGGCAGGTACTGGTCAAACTCGTTGACGTCGAAGGTCTCGATGTTGGAGATGACGTCGCTGCTGAGCTCGCCGATGTCCACATCGCGGAAGTCGATGTGCGGCGGCTGCCGGCCGCCCTCGCCCAGCGCGCGGCCCTCGCGCTTCAGGTCCTGCTTGCCCGGCTGGGCGTCCGTCTTGGGGGTGGTGGGGGGCGTGGGGGGCCCCTGGGACTGGCCTGGGGGAGCAAGGACAGGGGTGAGGGTGGGACGGGGGTGGCAGCGCCCTGAGCGGTGACAGACACGTGTCTGGTGCGAGGGACGCGGAGCCCAGCAGCCCGCTGTGCCCTCACACACAAGAGATTACTTTGGGCCTTTAAAAAGCACGAGTTTGTGTTTCTCACAGGCAAATGGCTGCAGTGGGGTGACAATTTGTGTGCCCGGCCTCTGGGCACAGCTCGTGGGCAGTTCTCCCTGTTCTCCTCCACTCCTGCCTCTTTCCTTCCCCTCCCCTCAGCCAACCCCGACCTCAGCCCTGTCTGGGCAGCTGTGCCGTGTCCCCACAACCTCAGCCCTGTCTGGGGAGCTGTGCCGTGTCCCCTCAGCCCTGCCTGGGCAGCTGTGCCGTGCCCCCCAACCTCAGCCCTGCCTGGGCAGCTGTGCCGTGTCCCACAACCTCAGCCCTGTCTGGGCAGCTGTGCTGTGTCCCCCAACCTCAGCCCTGTCTGGGCAGCTGTGCTGTGCCCCCCAGCCTCAGCCCTGCCTGGGCAGCTGTGCCGTGCCCCCCGCAGGCATTCCTGGATCTCTCCTGGATCTTTCCATTCCTGGATCTTCCCCTCCCCACAGCCAACCCCACGCTCAGCCCTGCCTGGGCAGCCGCGCCGTGTCCCCCGCAGGCTCCCTGGGCACCTACCCGAGTGCTCCCCGGGCGAGTGCACCTCGCTGATGCTGGAGGAGGATTGGGGCGAGTCCGCCTGCAGCGCCTTGAAGATGGCGTTGGGGGAGATGTGGGTCTGCTCCGCGCCCTCCTCCTGCTCCGCCTGCCCGTTCTTCACCGATTTCCTCCGCCGGGGCTGGTACTTGTAGTCGGGGTGGTCCTTCTTGTGCTGCACCCGCAGCCGCTCGGCCTCCTCCACGAACGGGCGCTTCTCGCTCTCGTTCAGCAGCCTGGGGGGACACGGGGGGCGCGGGGTCACTCGTGGTGGCCGAGCAGCGACACCGGGACCGATCCCTCCTTGGGATCCCCGCAAAGAGCGATGCCAAGCCCCCCACAAGCTGATCCCCCCGTCCGGGACACTCGCTGGTTGTCACCCCCTTGTCCCCGGCGCTCTCCGGTTGTCACCCCCTTGTCCCCGGCGCTCTCCGGTTGTCACCCCCTTGTCCCCCAGGTTCCTTCGGTGCCCAGACCAGAGCCGCAGGAGGGCTCCAGCCCCCTCCCTCCTCCCCACCCTGCGGGCACATCTCGCCGCTGTCCGCGGGCGTTTGGGGACACCCCCGCCTGCCAGGGCCAGCTTTGCTGCCCCGTGTCACCGCCGCGGGGTCCCCCCTCCCCGAGGACGCGGTGGCCCAGGTGACTCACTCGCCTCGTGTTTTCCTCCCCTCCCCGCCTTATTCTGGCACTCGGAGGCCACCCGGCCCTGCGCCACCCACCCTCCCCTCCCTCCCTCCCTCCCCGCATCGCCCCGCGCTCCCTCCGGCCCGGCCCGAGCTGATGCAATAATCCCCAAAATCCAAAATCCATCGTTTCCTCCGCACCCGCGGCGCAAACAAACCACGGCCGGGGGGGCTCCGCACGGTACCCCCGCTCCGGAAACAGAAACCACTCCCAACACCACGAACGAACAACTTTCCCTACTTTCCCTGCTCTCGCCCTCCTATCCTGGTTTCTCCCCGACCTAACAAGTTTTGCGCTCCGCACAAGTTTTCCAGCGCCTTTTCAACCCCGCATCCCTCGGTCCCCGCGGGCATCCCCGGCCCCGCACTCACCTCCAGAGCTTGCCCAGGGTCTTGCTGAGCTCGGCGTTGTGCAGATGCGGGTATTGATCCGCCAGCTTCCTGCGGGCCGCCTGCGCCCACACCATGAAGGCGTTCATGGGTCTCTTGACGTGCGGTTTGTTCTTGCTGGAGCCGTTCACCCGCACCGGCATCGGCACCAGGGTCCAGTCGTAGCCCTTGAGCACCTGGCTCACCGCCTCCCGGATGCACACCGGGAACTTGTCCTCGTCGTTCTCCTTCTTCAGGTCCGGGTCGCCCTTGGGGAAGGTGTTCTCTTGGGGTCTGGTGTTCTCCGTGTCCGAGCCGGATCCAGAGGGGCAGGGGGAGCCGGCGGAGTCATCCGACATGGTGGGGCTGGGGGCGTCGGAGATACATTTGTCCTGTTCTTCTGTCATTTTCATGAAAGGGTCGAGGAGATTCATGCGAGAAAGTGGCCGAGGGGGAACAAGGGGGCGAAAAAAAATTAACAAAAAAAAAAAAATTAAAAAGTTAGGCGCTAAGGGGCAGGGATGGGTTAAAAAAAGCAAAAAAAAACTCGGAGAAACAAAGTCTCCACCGGCTGCGGAGAGGAGGCTCGCAAAAAAACTTTTTATTACTTCTCCTCAGCGCAAAAACGCTAAAAAACAAAAAAATTACAAAAAGCAAGAAAACCAAAAAAACTCCGAAACGAGGAAAGGGAAAAAGAAAAACTTTGGCGAGGCCGGGAGCGGGCTCGGGCTCAGGATCGGGCTCAGGACAAGGAGCAGGGCGAGCCCCGGGCAGTGTCGGGCGCGGCGGCCCCGCCGGTCTCCAGCGCGGCTCTGCGGCCGCTGCGCGCCGCGCGCACAAATACCCGCGCGCCCGCCCCGGCCCGGCCAATCACAGCGCGGCCCGCGGGGGCCGCTCCGCCCCTATTGGCTGAGCCGCGCGGAGGGGGCGGGGCCGCGCGGCGCAGCGCGGGGGGCACGGCCCGGCCGGAGCGGCGACAGAGCGGGGACAGAGCGGGGACAGAGCGGGGACAGAGCGGGGACACAGCGGGGACAGAGCGGGGACAGCGACAGCGCCCCGCCCGTGCCCCACGGTCCCCGCGGGTGGCTGCTGGAGGCGCCGCCGCCGGGCCCCGCCGCTGGGGCCGCTGCAGCCGCGCTGGCGGCGGGCGGGACGCGCGGAGCGGAGCGGGGGCCGCGGGCGCTGCGCGGCTCCGTCCCGAGGGGGCGCCAGAGGCTCAGGAACGGCGCGCGGGGGGCGGCGGGGCCGGGCCGGGCCGGGGACCCCGAAAATCGCAGCTGCGCTTCGGCTTTTTCTCCTTTTTTAAACTTTCTTTTTTTCTTTTTTTTTTTTTTCTTTTTGGAGGGGGTGCCCGGCGCGTCCCTCCGCCCACCCCGCGCTGCGACATCCGCACGTTCCCCCGGTTATTCCTCTTTCTATCGTTATTCCTCATCCCCGTGGCCCCGGCGCGGCTTTCCCTGCGCGGCCGGACCGGGCTGCGGGACCCTCATCCCGGTTCCCCATTCCGCTTCCTAATCCCGGTTCCTCATCCCGGTTCCCCGTCCCAGTCCCTTATCCTGGTCCCGCATCCCGATCCTGTATCCCGGTTCCTCATCCCGGTCCCGCATCCCGATCCTGTATCCCGGTTCCCCATCCCGGTTCCCCGTCCCAGTCCCTTATCCCGGTCCCGCATCTCAATCCGGGATCCCGGTTCCTCCTCCTGGTTCCCCATCCCGGTTCCCCATCCCAATCCTGGATCCCGGTTCCCCATCCCGGTTCCCCATCCCGATCCTGGATCCCGGTTCCCCATCCCAATCCCGGACCCCGGTTCCCCATCCCGGTTCCCCATCCCGGTCCCGCATCCCTGGAGCCGTGCCCGGGGAAGGAGCGGCCTCTTCCCTCCCCCTCTGCACAGAAATAAAAGTTTTGCCGAGTGGATCAGGTCTGGGAAGGCAAGGCCGGGGCTGCCCGGGGTTATCTGCGGGAGCTGCGGCTGTTTCCCGGTACAGGAACATTCCGGGGCTGCAGGAATCGCCCGGCTGGAGCCGGATGAGATCGGGGCTCTCCCTGCAGCCCCCGTCCAGGTGGGCAGTAAAACACACCCCGGCTTTTCAGGCTCCAGGAGAAGGATTTGGTGGGAGCTGCCCGAAAAGCTGCGCCCCTTCCCACCTTCCTCCTTCTCCCCGCGCTCCCCGCCGCCTTTTTGGGGCAGAAACCTCCGAGTTCTGCTCCTTTCCCAAAGCCCGAGCCCAGAATTTTTCATCGCAACTCGAGCGTTAAAGTTGGGGCTTTCTGGCAGCCGCTTTCCTTCGCTGCTCTCATTTGCAGCCTTTGTGCGGCCGGACAAGCCTCGGGGCAGCCCTGTCGCGATTGTCGTCGTTGTCCTGACCATGGGGGCTTCAAGGTATTGGAAAGGGCACGTGGAAAAAAACCAAAATTCAAAAAAAATAAGATAAAATTAAAATAAAAGGACAGCGGGGAAGGAGCCGGGAATAAACGCTCTCGAAAGCCTCTCCTTGGTTGTTTTTGGTTTTCCCTGAGGTTCTGGTGATGATTTTGATTTTTTTTGGGTTTTTTTTTTGCTTGCAAACTGTTTTGGGAAGTAGCTTTGCTCTGGGTGAGTTTAAGGTAAGTGGCTGTGCTGTCCCGGAGCCTTTGTCTGCAGGAGCAGAGCGGGGCTTTTCTGCTTTTCTCCAGGGGAATTTGGGTTTTTTTTTTTATTCCTGAAACACCAAGAAAGCTTTTCCCAGAGTTGTATTTCCTTCCTTTGCTAAATATCCAATTTTCCAGGAGAGGGCCGCTGAATTTTGCGTTGTTATTTGCGGTGATAGAGGTAAACTTTCAGCCAATATTACAGGTGATAATTTGGATTATTTTTCCTGGGTAATCCCAGCTCTAGGGCGGTGCATGCCGGAGTTTAGCTCCCCAAATCTCATTTAATAAACGTATTTATTGCAGAACATGAAAGCAAAGGCAGGCAGGAGATTGTTCTGATCTCAGCTGGAGCTGCTGGGGCCCAAACCTGAACAAAACACACCTGGAGAGGAGCAGAACCCGGTGACAGCAAATTGTCCCCCGGCCCTGCTGCTGCTGATGGCAGAACCAGCACGGGGACAACTCAGGAGGGTCAGGGATTGAACGGGAAGGGTCAGAACTGGGGCATTTTTCATCCTGCAAATCCGTCTGGAAGGGGCTCTGCCTTCCCCGCGAGCTGCGAGGGCCTTGACAGGTTTGAACAATAAACAAAAGCGAAAGGGGAAGCAGCTCTGCACTCATTGTGTGTGATTCGATAATTTCTGGCTTATTATTTTTAATTATTGCTCGATGGGCTATTTGGACAAGGTGGACAAGCTGATTAATCACAGCCGGGTGGAAGCTGCCTCTGGAGCTGCTGCTGCTGCTGCTTTGGATGGAAGTTTTCCTTCCCTTTTTTTTTTTTCTTTTTTTTCTGGAATTAATGTTAATTTTTGTTTTATCCAAAGTGGCCAGCTCAGGCAGCAGGGAAGGTTTTTAGTGGGAATTAAAGCCCCTGTTTGATGGGTTTTTCCTGCTCCTTGTGCTCAATGAAATCCCTGGTTTTTAGGGAATAACCTTTCCAAGGGTTAGTGGAGGAGATGGGAATTTTGGGAGTGGGGGGGGGGGGGGTGGATTTGGGGAGGTTTTTCTGTCCAAATTGAAAAACTCATCTGTGCTTCAGATGGGCTGAGCTTCAAAAGTTGTTGTGTGGATTTTTGGGGGAGCCCCTTTGATGCTGGGGACGTTCAGGCTCTGCTCTGAGCCCTGGGATTTGGGATTGGGGTTGGGAACGTCTGAGTTCTGTTCCAACCCCCGGGATTTGGGATTGGGTTTGGGAATGTTCAGGCTCTGCACTCACCCCTGGATTTGGGGTTGGGAAGGTTCAGGCTCTGCTCAGGATTTGGGACTGGGGTTGGGAAGGTTCAGGCTCTGCTCTGAGCCCTGGATTTGGGATTGGGGTTGGGAATGTTTGAGTTCTGTTCCAACCCCCAGGATTTGGGATTGGGCTTGGGAAGGTTCAGGCTCTGCTCAGGATTTGTGATTGGGGTTGGGAAGGATCAGGCTCTGCTCCAACATCCAGAATTTGGGATTGGGGTTGGGAAGGTTCAGACTCTGCTCTGACCCCTGGGATCTGGGATTGGTGCTTGGAAGGTTCAGGCTCTGCTTTAACCCCCGGGATTTGGGATTGGGGTTGGGAAGGTTCAGGCTCTGCTCAGGATTTGGGATTGGGTTTGGGAATGTTCAGGCTCTGCACTCACCCCTGGATTTGGGGTTGGGAAGGTTCAGGCTCTGCTCAGGATTTGGGACTGGGGTTGGGAAGGTTCAGGCTCTGCTCTGACCCCTGGAATTTGGGATTGGTGTTGGGAGGGTTTGGGCTTTGCTCCAACCCCCAGGATTTGGGATTGGGGTTGGGAGGGCTCAGACTCTGCTCTGACCCCTGGGATCTGGGATTGGTGCTGGGAAGGTTCAAGCTCTGCTTTAACCCCCGGGATTTGGGATTGGGGTTGGGAATGTTCAGGCTCTGCTCTGACCCCTGGATTTGGGATTGGGAAGGTTCAAGCTCTGCTTTAACCCCTGGGATTTGGGATTGGGGTTGGGAAGGTTCAGGCTCTGCTCCAACATCCAGAATTTGGGATTGGTGCTGGGAAGGTTCAGGCTCTGCTCAGGATTTGGGATTGGGGTTGGGAGGATTCAGACTCTGCTCAGGATTTGGGATTGGTGTTGGGAAGGTTCAGGCTCTGCTCTGAGCCCTGGATTTGGGATTGGGGTTGGGAATGTTCAGACTCTGCTCAGGATTTGAGATTGGGGTTGGGAAGGTTCAGGCTCTGCTTTAACCCCCAGGATTTGGGATCGGTGTTGGGAATGTTCAGGCTCTGCTCTGAGCCCTGGATTTGGGATTGGGAAGGTTCAGGCTCTGCTTTAACCCCCGGGATTTGGGATTGGGGTTGGGAATGCTCCCAGGGATGCTGGGATGTCACCGTGTCCCTGCTCTGATTCCTGGGATCTGGGATTGGTGTTGGGAAGGTTCAGGCTCTGTTCTGAGCCCTGGATTTGGGGTTGGGAAGGTTCAGGCTCTGCTCTGACCCCGGGATTTGGGATTGGGGTTGGGAATGCTCCCAGGGATGCTGGGATGTCGCCGTGTCCCCTCTGAGCCCACCCAGAATCCCAAGGAGAAGCTGCAGATCCTGGCAAACGTTCCCTGCTCCTGGTGCTCACCATGAACTTCAGGGGTGCAGGAATTCCCCAGAACCAGAGGTGTTCCTGCAGCAGAATCTGAATTCTGACACAGAACTGGATCAATTATTGATCCAGGGCCCAAAATGTGAAATTCCAGGTGTGATTGTGCCTTTGGATTTATCCAGGAATGTTCGCTCCTAGGTTTCCAGAGGGAGGTTTTGGCAGGGCCGGTTAATTAATTAATCACAGCTTAATTAATGTAAAAATTAAAAATCCCCCTCCTCATCAGTGATATTTTATTAAATCCAAGAGTGGGGGTTGCATCCCACAGAAATATTCCCACATTTTGTTTTTTCCCTCTCTCCTGGCAGCAGGGAAGGCTCAGCCTGTCCTTGGTTTTCCCAGAAATTTCAGCTTTTCCCTGATTTTCCCCTTTTCCCACCCAGGGATCCCACATTGTGCCATTCCAGGCGTAAAACGCCGCAGGTTTCCCTCCCAAATATCCCAAATATTCCTGGTGCAGGGATGGAATTTGTGCTCTGTGGATCCCTGATCCCATTTCCAGCTGATCCAGGGAATGAAACAGGAGCTGAGGGGGGACGGCCTTGGGGCCTTGAAA